TATATATATATATACAGTGCGCTCCATAAGTATTGAAATAGTAAAGACAAAATTGCTCTGTTTGCTGTGGTCAAGACATTTGCAAATATGATTAAAAGATTAATATGAGACTAAACTACAGAATGTCACATTTTATTATTAGCTGTTTCAACACATGCATGTTTTACCAAATAAAAAGGACAGCACTTTAAGAGTTCACCCCACTATTTGATGTGAGCATAGTTATTGGGACAGATGAACTTAAGGCAGATGTAAAAGATTAAAAGCTATTATTTTGTTGCAGGTCCCTTGCGTGCAATCACAGCAATGAGTCTACGACCCATAGACATCACCAGACTCTTGGTCTCATCCTTTGAAATGCTTTTCCCAGCCTTTAAGGCAGTCAGTTCCAACTGTTGCTTTGGGGAGTTTCTGCCTTTAGTCTCCTCTTCAGCTGGTGAAATTCATGTTCAATCAGATTTAAATCTGGAGATTGATTTGGGCAAAATTTACATTTTTTTTGCCCTGATAAACTCCTTGACTGAACTGGCAGGGTGTTTTGGGTCATAGTCCTGATGCAATGTGAAGCACTTTCTGATGAGTCTGGTGACATTTTCTTGAATATTGGTAGCCAAGATGGTTTTGTACCCTTGCAAATTCATTCTGCTGCTGCCATTATACATTAAGTCATTATTAAAATTGAGAGGGCCTGTTCCAGATACAGCCTTGCATGCCAATGCCATGACACCACCTCCACCATGCTTTACAGATGAGGTTGTGTGCTTGGGATCATTTGCAGTTCCCTTTTTCTCCACACGTTTGCTTTCCCATCACTTAGATAAAGGTTAATCTTTGTCTCATCTGTCCATAAAACTCTGTTCCAAAACTCTACTGGCATTTGCAAACTAATCTTGCCTTTCTATTTTTGGTGCTGGTCAGAGGTTTTCATCTAGCTGTGTATCATCTTTAATTCTGTGTCAAAGTCTCCTGTGGACAGTAGATTGTCAGAGCATCACCCCAGCTTTCTGGAGGTTGTTGGTGATTTTATATACACGTATTTTAGGGTTCATTTTCACAGCTTTTGTGATTTGTCTGTCATCAACTACTGTTGTTTTTCTCAGCTGATCAGGTCTTTGTTGGCTGCTGATGTCTCCGGTGGTCTCCAAACTCTTGATTTCTCCATGCCCTTTGTTTTTGCTAAATCTCTTATTGACTTTCTCTTTTCTTTTAGCATACAAATTGCTTGCTTTTCTCTCAGAGTCAGCTCCCTCGTCCTGAATAAGCTATTTCACATAACAGATGTTTATATATTCTCCACAAGACAAAATAATAACTGAATTTATAAAAATGACCCCATTCAAAAGTTTACACACCCTTGAATCTTAATACTGTGTGTCGTTTCCTGGATGGTCCATGACTGTCTCTCTGTTTTGTGATAGTTATTCATGAGTTCCTTGTTGGTCCTGAGCAGTTGAACTGCCAGCTGTTCTTCAGAAAATTCCTCCAGCTCCTGCACATTCTTTGGTTTTCCAACATTGTATGATTGTTACTGAAACAATGCATTAAGAGCTGGGGGGTGTAAACTTTTTGAATTGGATGATCATGGTAAATTGTACTTTTGTCTTCTGGGAAACATTTAAGTATTTATGTAACTTCTTAAGTGCAGTACCAAATGAAAAAAAATATGATCTTTAAACAAAATAATTTACACATCATCATCCTGTTCAAAAGTTTACACTCTCTGGCTCTTAATACATTGTGTTGCCTTCTTGAGCATAAGTAAATGTTTCCACCTTTTGTAATAGCTGGGTATGAGTCAAAATCATACAGTCACTGTTGGAAATGGTTCAAATATGCAGAAGATGCTGGAAAACTTTAGGTTACTACCGTAACCCCGGTTCTCTGATAACATGAAATGAGGTATCTCACTATGGGAGATACCTTCCCAGGCGTGACCGATTGTGGTAGCACCAATTACACCACGTCTGCCAATCATGGCAGACCAATCGATGCAGCGATCAGGGTGTCCCGCCTCCCTGTATATAAACCGCAGCTACCTGCTGTCTCATCATTCTCTGCATATCTCTTCTTTGTGTGGGACAGGCAAGGAGGGCAATATTGTGAGATACCTCACTTCATGTTATCAGAGAACCTTGCGTGCAATTTACTCACCCTCTTTGCTGTAGTAAGAGCGAGTAACAGAGCAGTCTTTAAAGATACTTCAAGGAGATGCTCGAAAGGGGCTTTAGAGAGCGCGTTCAGGACCATGGACAAATCCCAGGGCGGAACCAGCGGCTTTGATACTGGGTGTAACCGTCACGCTCCTCTCATAAATCGGCAAACGAGAGGATGCTGGCCTATAGTACCAGAGTCAAGTCCTGTATGACATGCTGAGATAGCAGCCAAATAAACCTTAACCGTGGAAAAAGCTCTGCCTTTGTCCAGGAGGTCTTGCAAGAAACATAGCACGTCCGAAATTGAACATAAATAAGGGACAACGTTTCTTTCTGTTCACCATGCTTCGAACACTTCCCATTTGAGATTGTATCAAGAGTGTGTGGACATGGCCCTCGTGTTCTGAATCGTCTCAGTGACCTTAGGAGGTAAA